CAGATCTACAAGAGACAGAGCTACAACGGATTCTATTGCAAAACCATTGCAACGTTTGCAGGTTATCTTACAAAAAGGGTGTACTAAACACATTTAACGATTGAATTCTACACAATAAAAGATTCAGAGTAATGAATTAGAACATTGTTCAATTGATATATGGTCCATGAAACATTCCCAATATGATGACCCCTTCCAAAAAAACAGAATAAAATGATCTTAATATAACACCATTAGAATCATTAATATGAAATGAGATAAATGCAACATTAAAGACACTGATACTATCACATAATTCTTCGATGACACGAAAGAAATATTAAATTAGGCACATATTTGAAAGAAATACAATATAATGTAATTATCACAGTTCATATTATTCGCCATGGAATCAGACATATAAATAAGTATTTGTATTGGTGACAGTGCATTGTCCTCTATTAAACGTCTAACAAATATTACTGATATTATTCTTGTAATCATTATTACAGTCATTTTTATGACGCACTTGCTGCCAGTGAGCATTTCTCACTGCACTAATGACCAATAATGATCATAGTTACATTCCACAGACTATCGCTATTATTCGAATTTGCATTCATACAACAGTTTATTATTACGGTCATTGTCAATCATAAAATTACCACTGAAATACAGAGTATTACCATAATGAATATAATTATTATTAAAATTATTAGCACGAATGTCGGTATGAACAACGATACGATTACCACTAATATTAATATTAATATTATTATTAGTACTATTATTATTATTATTGTTATTATTATTATTATTATTATTATTATTATTATCAATACAATATAATTATCACAGTTCATATTATTAGCAGTATTATTCATTTCATGGACATTAATACAGTTCATTAAATTACACATTAAATCATAATGCCTGCTGAAAGACTTACGATTTAATTCAGGGTTGCATAGGAGTAATATGAGTTCTTGTGAATTCTTACTGCAATTCACAGTTCTTGTAGATGTTTAGCGCTCAAAAGATACTAGCCGCAAGATGACGAGCTAAATTGTCGTTCTGTATCGCTAAACGAAATGGATCGTCAACGACTTGGACGGATTGCCCTTCAACGCGAGAATCGATTCGTTTGAATGGGGCCGTCGCAGCCATTGTTGTTGTTGTTGTTGTTGATAGCGAAGCCTTTCGCACGCCCTCATCATCGTTTTCAGTGAGGAGGGATTTCTGGCTGAACCAACCGGTGGTTTGAGTTTGACTACGAGAATCTCGTGATGCTTCCAGCTCGAGCACTTTATCGTCACTATTGTTGCTCTCTGATTTCGTCTCTTCTGTCCTCTTAAAAGGGAACATTTCTGGTTGATAATGCAAATTGTTTATATCGCCTAGTGAAGTGAACAAGTGCTGCTCAGCGGTATCATCCGATTCCGACGAGTTGAAAGTACCTGAAAAAATGAGACGTTTGAAGAGTCGGAAGTGAATCACAATGTGTGTTCACAATTCATATGATTAACAAGGCAGAAACTTAATAGCTGGATTGATCAATCACGTATCTGTACAAAGTTGGACATTCCTACGACGAAAAGAGTTATAGCTGTACCCTCACACTGCAGTTTTCAAGCGCATTTCGTGCTATCTACTAGACCTCATGCTGTGTTCATTCTAGATCGGTTTTTAAAATTTGCAAAGAAACCTATGTGATAACATATAAAGTGGTGAGAAAGGTCAGTTGTTAATGTCGTGCTCTAAATTGAGGTGACTATTACAAGGTATGTACTGAAGGAGTTGTAAGCGTTGTCAAGGTAAGTAATTAGACAAAATGACGAGTGAAAGAATCAATGAATATTTGTAAGTATTGACTGGATAACTAGTCTGAATCGCTCACCTATTGAGCAAGACGACGAACGAGATACTGCCGAAAATGTGGAAGTGGCACTGTTCGCTCGACTCAACAACAGTGACCTGCTGAAACTTCCCGTAGCTTCAGCCACTGGCAATATGGCATCGTACGTATTCGAAATTCTGTCGAATAACTGCGGGCGTTCCTGGCTTGAACTTCCGTCTGGCGATCCATCGCTATCACCCGTGAAATGATCGAAGAAAACCTCCGGTTCTAAAGGCCAGGATGGTGGTGGAGGTCGTCTTATCTTGAAAGCAAGGTCACCGAGAGATTGGTTTGGATAAGCAGCCAAACGTGTGTTTTGAAAAGGGTTGAATGACGGCGGTGGGTATGAGAGGAAAGGGGAAACCGAAAGGTGATGATTCGGAGGAGTGTACGGTTTGAAGGTCAACGGACTGATAGCGTGGTTAGCATTAAAATCGGGAGCATTGCTGTTTTGATGTTGCCATGCCGTTGAGAACAAATGACGTTCGTGTTCCATTTTTTCCAGCTGAAATCCAAACGGTTCAGATATTTTGAAAATAAATGGAACGAAACTATTTGCATGAAATGCAACGTATGCAATGTTCGATTCATCCAAAAATAATAATAATAATCTCGTCGAAAACCCTTACCCTACCAGATTCCTCAAATGCTTCAGTATTTTAACTGCCATCATCGGCGAAACAACTAGAACTATGAATTCCCACCTTTCATAAAAAGATATTAAAAAATATAGAAATGAGATCGGAATTTTCAGACGGAAACGATGTGATAGAGGTTGAAAAACTGTTCTCGATGAATCCATAAAAAACTGCATGAATCACTTTTTTGATCAACTCAATTAACAGTTGATCGATTAACGTGAACATTAGAGAATAGTTGAGTTTTCACAACAAAATTTCAGCGTTAAGTGTTGTTGAAGGCAATAGTGGGAAAATCGTACCCGGTCAGGACGAATGTACGCATTTTGACCATCAGAATCTGGATGAACAAATAGACATCGGTTACCGTAAGGACATAAACCAACCAAAGTATATTTCTCGCACAGTTTGGTGCGATACTTTGCATTCTTCACTTGCGTTCTGAAAGGCCGATCGAAATTCACTTGGACTATTAAATGGCATTTGATCGAACATGAGACAGGCCAAGCTGCTAAACATCGAAGCTGTCAGCATCATTCCTATACGATCTGGGGAAGTGTTGATGGCTTTTGAACTATGAGAATTTTCGAATTCGTCCGAAAAAACTGCTAATATGATCTGCCAATCTGAATAGTCTACCGAACACATTGGTAGACTATTCGGTTTCAAGCAATACATCTTTGTGCGATCGAGAATCACCGACTAATCAGCTACCTTTAACATCTGTCTAGCAACTGATAGGCTAGGAGTTTGGGGCTCGCTTTCGAGGAAAAACCACTATCGAATCCGAATAATTCACGCAATATCATTGATATTATCGAGCTTAGCCAGCAACAATCGATCACTTGGCCCGAATTTAATTATGGAACTTACTTGCAAGGACGCAGTTCTTCTTCGCCATGAGCAAAACGACAATTTTCAGCGAAGTTACACTTGTTGTTCTCCAACCATGCTTGACACATCACCTTAAATCGATTCAATCTGTTTTGGTCACTCCAATAACAATTAGATGAGGCACATCGATATTTGCGAAGTTTCGTAACAGTGACAGAACTTCAAATCTCCGGATCAATCCCAACAACTCAAAGATCTCGAGTGCGGGACTCGCATGGACTCAGGATTCTGCGAACCATAACGACTGCTGACCACTGTACTGAATCGACTCGAACGAAAGAAGTATCTCTGAACAAGGACAAGAAGAATCTGAGGGTGCGAAAAAGTCAACGCACCGTTTTATAGGTATCGGGTTTTGGTGATTTTAGGCCAGAAGCTGACGACGACGACGACGACGACGAGAGTTGACGAGATGAAGCACGTTTGATTGACGAAGACTGTTTCTGTTGGGAAATCACCGCTGCATCAGTTGAATTTCTTGGTGTGTTGTTGGTCGAGCATGACGATGATGATATAGGTGCTGAGGGTGGCATTGAAGCCACATCAGTAGCAAATACCGTCGGTGGAAAGGGTAGAGTGCTCGATGAGTGAGTTATTCCAGTTTGATGTGGTGTTCCAAATGAGCGAGCAGAATCCGATATTGGGTTAACATTCATCATGTTATGACCACTAGTATTTTGAGGAAGAGCTTGTAAACAGCAAGCATGCTTATCTTCATTGAAATTACCACTCTCATCATGAGAAATTTTTGCCACATCCATTGTCCAACTGAAATCATTTCGGATGTATGAGAATATATTGGATAGTGCTTTAGACTTATACGATAATCATGAACTCCTCTAAGAGGTACTATATTTCATCGGCAAACAGTATGCAAAATTGTTATGGGTTGACGGGGAAAAAAGATTCATATCAATCGAGATTGCACGAACTTAAAGGATCTTTGACCATTATTGCATTATAAAAAGTGCAGCGATGGTCATGGAATGGTCATTCATGCCAAAACTGGTCATGGAATGCTCATTAAAATCATCGATCACAAGGTAGATGGTCCCCCGGGCGTGAGAGATTAGAGCACCCTAATAAACACTGGCACAAGTTCGGAGGTTTTGCAGCCCAACTCAAGTTAAAGTGATATTCTGGTGAGTCATTCTCCAACCGTTTTGGCTTCTCGTCATCGAGTGCAAGTAGAGCGATTGCTGTTTGCTGAAGAATTTCGTTCACCCCTTGATCGTCATATTGGGTATCGCTATTATCCGGCGGTGTCAGCTGTGAGGACCACGTTGATTCATCTGTTGAGCAACGCTCAGAGTTGGAGCTGAAATTGAAAAATTGACGGCAACTGTTCCACAATAGGACACTTGATTGTAGAATTTTTGTGGTGCACAAGAGGTAAGGATTAGGGTTTCATTTACAAGCCACATTTCAAGTTGTTGGTGGTTTCAAACAATATGAATTGTCACATGTTTAAGGCGGTTTTGTAACAGTTGCGAAACATTCCAGGATAATCACTATTGTACAATAATTGTGCTTTATTTTTCGATCACAATAGCCATTCAATCAACCATAATCGAATTTTCCACTTTATCCACTAGTATCCCTGTCAAGTGAAGATGAAACTGCGCCCTGGATATGAGGAGGCAGCAAATGAAATTTGTTCTCAGTCATCATCATTAGTTGTGGCTACGGTTCGTCGTTTGGTGCTGGTTTCTATCCGAGAGATACGTAAGTTCAGAAGTGAACAACGCTCATCGAAAATGCTCCAAAAACCAATGTGGCCAAGTACCTGCTTAACGCCATTGCAGTTCCATTATCATTGGAGATGTCACAGATCGCGTGAGATGCTTGAAATTGCAGCTGATCTTCAGTAAACTTCAAGACTCTCCCGTTTTCGTCATCCAGAATTCTTGAGCGGTCAAAATCTTTCTTAACATTGTCATCACAATCAACTATCGTCATCTGCTTCAATAGTGACGGCGTGACACTGAAATAATAAAAGGCAAATTCAACTGCTATCTCAGAAATCATCTCGTTTATGAATCGCGTACAGTATCAACAAAATGATGATGAATATGCGAAAAAACAATCGCCATTGGATTTCGTGGAACATGCTTCATGGATGTTACCAATGAAGATTCAAAAAATGCTAGCGACGGAGATACCATAATCGATGATAATTCAGTCATAGTCGTTAAATGAGCAGTTATTTTTGAATTGCGATGTTTCCAAAGTTTCACCTCTCGAAAAGTTAACTTTGTAACTAAAAATTTATTCACTATTCAGTGCACAAGTTGTAACTGCCATGCTTGTCTTAACATTTGTTGTGATCTCTTGATTGATGATTTACAAGTCACGAAGTTTCAGAAATTATTTCACGTTTACAGTCTCTTCGTTAAATGCAGTTGCGAGATAGCGATTTTGATGAATTTTGACGACAGGAGACGATGAAAACATCAGAAGAATGTGTTCTAATTTGACTCGCTCACCTAGGATTCATAAGATTAGCATCTTATGAACTTCTACTTGCATGTTACATTCGCGATAAATGTATCAAGTAAAATTGCGAGAACGTTCCAGATAACAAAAGGCGGAAATACGACAATACAACTTGCATAACGGCTGTTATGAATAGACACTACCGAAAACGTATCTCAACTCTTCAATTCTATAAGAATGATGTGAACCGAAAATATATGCTATAACAATACAACGAAACAATAGCAATCAATGAAATGAAAATGGAAATGCTCGAGGCACAATAAGAGTCAATTGATCATTAGATCAAAAGTCTTCATGATGGTTTTAGATCAGTGAGAGACATTCATATGCACATGAGCAAAATGTGAGCATGGGCAGCGAATGGGTCACTCCGATGATGAGCTTGGGTCATCTCGGGTCATCAGCGAGCGGATCACATTGGATTGTGCTTACAGGTTATCTGACGGTCAACTCCAAAGTTACCACTCGTGAGTGTCACTGTTTTTCAGAATCTTTCATCAAGCCTTCTCACACTTGTTCTATCAGGTTTTCACCATCACTGCAACGATCTGCAGTTAGCCAGTCTCTTGACTTGGTCTCATTTCGTGAACTTCAAATGTGAACGGTCAAGACGGTGCCCTGCTATGAACAACTGGAATTTGACCATTGTTTCATATCGGAGACGGTGGCAGGAATTGAAACTCTTCAGGAAGGCATTTCACAGGAATGAGNCCCGGAAATATATTAATGTTTATACACTGTAAGATGGAGCAGAATCTCTTCTATCTAAAGATGAAAGGGTTACTGAGAAATTTCCACATTGCGAGGAGATATATTAATTTTTGTGATGCTGTTCGGGTAAACACATTTAAGGCTATCGTACCCTCAGCTTTGATCAGTAACATATCAACTTCTTCACAGCGATCGATCGAGCAGAATCTCTGGATAAAGAAAATTATATATTTTGCCTAGCGATTTTGCCATAAGAACATTCATGAAAATAATATTCATAGTATTAATGTGAAATATGCGATTGATAGCAACTATAATATAAGGAGTAAGGCAAACGTAGAAGTAATAGTTGGAAGAACATCGGTAATGATGAACTTACATTGAAAATGTGGATGGTGCTCATAAAAGGCAATGCTAACGCGAACTGAACCAGTATCCATTCGTCTCAGAATAATGATGGCAACACTCTATCATTTACCAAGAAAAAGCAAAACAAATGGACGTGACGTGAAATTGAATCAGAATTATAAAAACCTGGAAGAGGGGAAAAAACTCGTCGCTCACCGAATAATTTCTGCATCGTTCGCAGCGAGAAAGTGCAACGAAAAACGTCCTCCCACTAAAATATGTTACGTATCAAAAAATGTTCACAATAGTGTAACTTGAATAGTGTTCGTATAATCGGTATGCACATGCTATCAATAATAAGAATGACATTTTTTNTCTATTCATCGACTGTATCAAGACACTTTTGTACTACTAGAATTCATAGTGTTTTGTAAGTAGTACTCATTCACTTCTGCAAGGAAACGTAGTGTTGAAACGAAACGATTGCTCTATAGCTTTGCAATCATCCAAGTCGCCCACCAATCAAAGTCAAAGAATTCAACGCAAACGAGATTTTTCTATTCTTGACAACTCCCAAAATTTTATGGTTTGAAACTGTACCGTTGGATGCTTTTACTTCAGCTATGTTATGTATACAAGACGTCAAGGGATCTTCAAGAAAGCAACCAGGAGAGATTCTCTAGTGTTGTGCACCACTAAAATGTGTTCACGAAAGTTGCTCATAATCAGTTATAAAACTTTGTTATTAACAATAAGCATTCGCATATGAATATGGACTTCTACGTTATGGACATATTGATTTGTTGAGAATGACATTTTTGCATTGAAAAAAAAAACGAATTCGATGAATAACTAGAAGTAACGATAGCAAATAAATCAGAGAACGTCACGGTGAGTTATACGAATCACACTGATATCGTGTTTTAACGTTATGTTGGCAACATTATCGCAGCCAAAAAACACTGAATATTCATTTGAGACTTCATAAATGACACGAATGTTTATGAAAAGGTAGTGCGGATAGACTGTGCTTGCAAAACATTTCAATTCCTGATGATGCAATCCTTGACTTAACACTATCAATCATCGTGTTTATTGTAATTTCGAACTGAAGACCCATGAATCGCCTGGAATTGCTAAGTTATTACACGTTGCTAATGTTGCTGACTGGAATCTCAATCATAACAGTTCTGAATAATCTTACAAAAGAGTACATTTGCTAGCAGTGTTTGCAAGTTAATGCTCATTGGAGAATGCTTCTCTCGATCTGGAGAAGTGTTTTTAAACTTTAAACTTGTTTTGAACTCCTCTAACCGGTACGCCTCATTCGGCAAAACGTGTGGGCAGTTCGCATAGAAGGCAATAAATTTTCATGAAGACAAATGAGTTCCTGAGCTGAAGTATGGTTCGTTGGATACAGAGAAGGATGTGAATGAACGAAAAATGTGGTGATATTTATGATAGAATTGTAATGATGGTTAGGCATGAACTTCTAATGAACTATAACAGTTGAATGAATAAACGAATTAAACTTTTGATAGAGTTTACCCGTCAAGAATTGCACTTATATAGCAGCAATGGGCTCAAAAAAAAAATGAAGTGCATGCATCGAAGCAAGACTTTGCCAGAGGCATTCATTGGACAGCGAACGTACACTGACTGAACTGATTCGTCTTAACAATTAAAGTTTTCATTTCAGCTATTTTATCGTTTCAGCAATTCAATATTTCATTTTCCCGTTGGCAAACATATTCATCTCTTAATCAAAACGCTATTCATTAGAGTGCTCTCGTGAAAAGTGCAAACAGGAAATTATATTAAGCACATGCATGAATGCAGTGAACAAATGCATGAATGCATTGGCTTCAGCAAATGGAAAACTTTAATTGGACGCTTCAACTGCATGATAAATAGTAAGATAACATGCCGTGATCGTAAGATTATTGTAAAACATTATTGTAATCTTCGGAAATTTCACTTATGCAGAGAAAAATCTGTTTGATTGGTTTGGAATGTGGAAGTGACTCATGAGGGCGATTTTATTAGATGCAGATACTCGGATCGCGTTTCAGTGCACTTATCATCTTCGTGATATAGGCAACCTGATAGGTGAGTGACCAATGTTGCATCAATTACGATCAGACAGAGGGGTACCCGGAAAATTTCCGTGAAGACGTTTTGCCTAAGGACAGTTTGTCTAACGGATGATTTTTCACCAAACAAATGATTTTGCCTAATAGGCAGACTGTCCTTAGGTAAGCTGTCTTTAGGCAAAACGTTTTTAGGCAAATTCTCCGGTCACGAAACACACAGGAAGCGTTTTATGAAATGACAGTAAAGTGTAACTGATGTCCGTCATGGTTTCGAAAATTGCAAGTTGCCGAGCGCTCTACCGACTGAGCTCCGCACACTGAGCATCACAAGGCGTTTTTGGTTCGGAATGAAAGTGTCAGAAAACAACTCATCAAATTTATCGAGAACAAATAGGTGAAAGTGTTCGCGATGGATGAAGATGACACACTAATTTCGCGAAAATTAGGTCATTCTGAACAAGTGTAATTATCATATGATGGGAATGATGTTATGTGTTGAGAGGATGATGATGATGATCAGCACTCACAAATGAGTGCAACGAATGGTGCAAAAACAAAACAAACGAAACGAAACTAAAATGAAACAAAAACAAATCATAAATTTCAGATGAACATGAAATGAACACGAAATCATAAGTAAACAAAAGGAATGTGTACGTGACATGACATGACAGAGTTTCACTGGAGGAAAATTGTGAAATAAAAAACATAACTAATGCAATTTGAGGTGGGTGCATTATTAAGATATCCATTCCATTTGAAAATGCACAAAATTTTGCAAGTGTGAGCTCTGTAAACGCTCCCAGGCATGCATAACCTTTGATCAGTGACTACTTACTTTGGGGAACGTAAACGTGCTGGCAGATCGATAGTTTGGCTTAGCTTGAGATCCGGCTTAGGCTGATCGCCTGTTAAACAACAATTAGGACTAAGCGCAAGCTTGTTCTGCTCCTATAATCAAAAATCAAGCCACCAACATCGTTACTGCCGACACTTCTCAAAAACCTTTCGCATCGCAGATATGTGATAATGATTAAGAGTGACCCGGCGGATACAATTTCAGCGGACACTTTCCCTATCACCTTATGACCCTATGTTGTGGACGCGCAATTTTCTCGGTCATCTGCACCACTGAAGAGGCAATTTTGTGGTGCGAAATGCAATTGAGAGTTCAGAAAAACCATAACAAAACTGAAATGAGCATGAATTTAAGTGCATTATGAGGAGAAAGAAAAACAAGCGAAAAGAGCAATGTGAAAACGCAACAAAAAAAAGAACAAAACAATTCATATGGGTTGTTTTCAACCA